ATATAACTGGGATATATTTTCACTGGGACATTGTGTGCAGCAACGGACACTCTGATGTATGTATTCTTAGATTCTTGCTAAGTTTGTACTTTATGTTTTATATACTTATTATATATTACTGTAAATAAATTATTGTTAAGTTTAAATTGTGTTATTGATCTTTGCTGGCATTTCGGGTAATTCTGACCCATAACAATACAAGTACCAGGTAATATTTTGGGAATTAGAAAGAGATTATGGAGAGGCTTTAAATTGCTTACGTCATTTAAGATAGCTGCCAGCTCATCCTTACTTATTGTCTCATCGCTGTTCTCGTCAAATTTCGATGAAAGCTTAAGAAATAGTAGTATACATTTATTTACCATTATAGTTTCTATAAAGATTACGAATTATTTCTTTTATATTTTAAAATTTCTTTCCACAAAGCCAAAAATTAAATAAATGAAAGATATAACGCCTTAAAAACATCATGCAGATTGATGGATTTAAAAAATTAAGAAAATATATTTTCACCTCTAAAAATTTATTAATGGCGTCTTTTACAAGCACATGTTCTTTTCTCAGCTTCATTTCTTTTTTCATTCTTTGTGTAGCTTGTCTGTTAACAAAAAATTCAGACCATTGAGACCACATTTTGAAAGTAAAGACTATTGAAATTTTACATAAGTAAACTCTGTGATAAAAATGATATATACCTGCCCATTTTTGTATCGGGGTACACTATTCGTCTGTTTTCTCTACTCTCGTACACGTCTCTGAAGCTCTGCTGTTCATTATCACTATACTGAAAGTCGTAATTAAAATCTTGATTTTTAAAAAATACTGAAAGTGCATTATAAAATCTTAGAATAAGAAATACTTTAATGCTCTATTTTTCATTTTTTTTTCTTGAGTCATTGGATCTTGTACATGTATATCATGAATTTTATACATGTACTAGTATATATTTTAATTTTTTATGTATATTTTAGCTCATTTGAGCTAAAAGCTCAAGTGAGCTTTCCTGATGACCCCGTTGTCTGTAAACTTTTCACATTTTCAATTTCTTCTAAAGAGCCACTTGGCTAATTTTCATCAAACTAAATACAAAGCATCCTTGGGTAAAGAGAAGTTTAAATTGTAGAAATGCTTATAGGACCAAGTCTCGTTCCAAGATGTGATAATCAAGAAAAGACCAAAATAGGCTGGGTCTTAACATTTTTTTTCTCAAGAACCACTGGGCCTGAAAAGCTGAAACTTACGTGAAAGCATCCTTGGGTTGTGTAAATTCTAAATAATTTAAATCATAACCCCTGGGGATAGGGCGGGGCCAAAATAGGGAATTCAACTTTTACATTGAAATATAAAGAAAAAACTTTAAATAACTTCTCCCAAAGAAAAACTGGGTCAAAGAAGCTGAAACTTGTGTGCAAGCATCCTAGGGTTAACCTTGTATAGATTCTAAATTGTTCAAATTATGACACCAGGGGTGGAGCGGGGCCACAATAGCGAATCCAAGTTTTACATTGAAATATATACTAGTGAAAAAAAACTTTAAAAATCTTCTCAAGAACCACTGGACCAGAAAAGATGAACTTAAATGGAAACATTCTGATGTCGAATAGATTCTGGATTTTTCAAATTATGACCCCAGGGGTCGAGCAGGGCCACAATAGGGAATCTAAGTTTTACATTGAAATAAATAGAAAAAATAAATCCTTGTAGATCTTCCCAAAAACCTCTGGGACAGAAAAGCTGTGTGATATAAAATCTCACCAATACAAAACCCAAAGTTTTTGAGGCTTTCAATTCATCCCGAGCAAACCTCTGTCTTTTGTCCATAATATAATGAATTTTCTCCATTGGTTGTAACCTTTTGAAAAATGTATCTTCTTTCTTCATTGATAACCACCACCCTTGTATAGAATATATAATATATCATAAATTAAAGGTCAAAACAAAAATTCTCTCTCTCTCTGTTTCATGGTATAAATGCCTTAATATCTTTTTAATTACACACCAATATTATTATTGTACAAATATTAAAGTTTACTATAAATTAATAATATTTTTGAAAAATACATTCAAGTAATTTATTTGCAAGGAGAGGTTACTCATTTTTTAGTTTCATTTCAAATGGGCTGAAATCTCAATATCATATGCTTTAATTTGAAGTTATTTGTAAAATGAAATTCGCTCATACCATCAAAACACGAAATGGGATAGTTAACCAGAATTCCTCCGTCTATATAGAGATTTTTTTGGCCGGATATTACATATTGAACGGGTTGCATCAATCCTATAATAGATCCACATACAAAGATTATATCAGCCATATTTAATAATATAATTAGTTAAAGCTAAATTTTGTGACTACAAATTGTTCGCCTATGAAAGTTAAAATTCTGAACCCTAGGTCTTTATGAAAGAGAAGTGTTTCTGACCTGGCAAGCTGGCTGACATGCGCATAGCCATTCTGAGAGGAACATTGGGAGTTGTTTTAAGGTGGAAGTACTCTTCCTCCATATTGTTTACATTCATCACCACGATACAAAGCTCCTTCCCAGTTTTTGTGTACAACTGTAGAAAATTCTTTATAAAATGAGTAAATCATAAACTATACTTTACCACTAGTTTAACAAAATACATTAATCAAAGCAAAATAATGTACAAGTGGAAATCTAAGCTGATTTTTTTCTCTTCAAAGGAAAATTATCTTATAAATAATTTGCCACTTTTAAATTGAATTTGAATTACAAAACATGATCTGGATTCCAAAAGATCGTAAAATTAATCCCAAAAAATCTCTGCATATGGTTCTAGGCCAAATGTCAATTCATGTCTTACAAAGAGTAAATGATATTAATTTTAAAAGAACAAAGGTAAGATGCATGTACTATCAAATCACATCAGGTGTTTTCATTAATATGTTGAGAACTGACATCTTTAAAGGTAGCATCTTTATTCCCAAGCTTTTCCGCAACAAGATCTCCAAAAAATTCAAATAATGTGTTCATTGGCTGCCATCCCAGATGGAACAACATATTTGGTATAAGACTTAATCGTCCTAATCTTGCATCTAAAAATAAAAAAGATATATAGTTATAGTTATTCATGTTATTATTAAGGTTCGTCTGATGTAAACAAAATTTAATATCTTATTTTAGTGAAAGGTTGTGACAATGATAGAAATGCAAGTATTTCTAATCTTTAAAAAAATCATTAGGTAATGTTGTTTTAGCATATTTCTTAATATAATAAAGAGCTCCAATTTCAATTTACAAATGTACATGTTTACCTTATCCAATGTAATCCTATGAAACAAGCTATTTTATTAACAGAATAATAATTTCATATTGATTGTTAGACCATTATGTACACTGATTTGTCCCTAAATTTTTTCCATTATTTCCTGATCATGACAAGGAACACAGGGCGGGTGTGGCAGTTCGGCAGGGGATGCTTAGTCCTCCATTGCACCTGATCCCATCTCTAATGTGGAGGTCCGTGTTTGCTCCGCTCCTTTTTTTTGTAATATTTAATGGACTTCTGAGCTCGAATACTGTTCGTTATCTCCACATATTCCATTGTTCAAGATTAAATTATACGATGTTTAGATAAAAAGGAGGTCTGGTCCGTATTTCTGAGTAGTCTTTTGTTAAATATGCCTCATCTATTTCACTTCTCAAGAGTATATCCTAAGGTATTATGAAGGGTTAGATACATGTATATAAAGAAACCATTTTTGTGCTTTAAAAAAATTATGAGCTTTTGCATTAATTATTGAACGAATCTCATATTTCTTGTGATGATACATACCATAGAACGTTCTGAAATCTTTCTCCAAAACTTCTTTTATTTTCGTGGAATTGTAACCAAGGGCTACCATGCAAGCAGTCATTGAACCAACACTTGTTCCAGCAAAGCGTTTAATTTGCTTTATCAGCCCTAGTTCTTCCAAGGCCTGAAATCAAAGCAATTGCTCATTTTGAACCATCCTCTTGCAAAATCCTACCTGTTTAAATGAGTGTAATTTTATTGCTCGATACTAGAATTATTCTTTTCTTCATGGAATAGCTGCAAATGAAAACAATATAAATGAACGAGACTTATTTTCATTTCAAACATTTTCAAATATCCTTTCTGCTTTCGTTTTTTTTTTTTGTGTGTGTGTGTGGGTGTGTTAATTAATATTGATGTATTGTATTGCAAAGGTGTTGGTTTGTTGACTTTAATATCAACGTAATACTTTTTATATGTCATAAATGTATATTTAAAACATGTTAGTCAGATGATATAAGACGTGTTTTTATACTAATTGTTAGACCGTTATTTACACACTAAAATATCATCGGATTTTCCTGTCATTTCCAGATCATGACAAGGAGCTAACAGCGGGTGTGACTGGTTGACAGGGGATGCTCACTCCTCCATGGCACCTGATCTCATCTCTGATGTTTAGGAGGTTCGTGTTTATTCTGTTCCTGATTGCTATTGTTTAATAGATTTTTGAGCTCGTTATCTCCTGTAACGTTTTTACAATGTACAAATGATTATCAATTGGGTTCGCTTAGGTTTTCTTCCTAAGAATCACGTTTACAATATAAAATCAAAACAAACTTCAATAGCTTCAATGGCACTAAAAAAAAATGAAATTTACTATATATACTTTTTCCTTGGTTCTATCTGAATAATGATTGTCAAACTAAACAATAACGAACTATAACAAAAGAATCACTAATAACTTATCAAACCAATGATCCAACCTTTTACAATATCCCTGTAGCTGCAGACTAAGTGGTTTGACTAACAGTCCGGTTGTTTTTCGACACAGTCTGCAACTACCTAAAACACACCCTAAAAATCATAAAGTCACAGGTATACACTAAGAAACACAAACACAAACACAATCTAAGTTACCAAGACACCATAGCTACTAACAGGACTATTTTTGTTAGACACAAGTTAAAGTCACCGAGACACCATAGCTAGTCACAAAGACACTAGGGAACTAGGTCCCTGGGCTGAGTGGTCTAATTAACAATTTTGTTGTTTCCCGACACAGCCGAGGTACCTCCCTAAGTCACCTAACCCCTACAAAGAGTTACACCAACAGTAAACGAAGCTGGATTGATCCCTGAATTTATACTATTTTGCCTCTGTTCGTTAAAGTGCTAATTGGTTAATAATTCTTAACATTTGGTTGGCTAAAATGTCAACTCTGATTGGGTGCACACAAAATGATTTAATTGGGTGATTCAAAACCATTTCAGTCCACTTTACTTATTCTGATTTATTACACTCCATATACATGTGTTTCATTGTTCCGATACTGCGGATTTCAATTATCATTTTTTCAAAAATCTTTTGCTCTGGAAATTGTTATTGAAAAGCTTGTTCATAATTTTTATCTATGTAAAACGAATCATTTTATGATATATATTAATGCACTAAATGTTTATACCTGGATAGCCCCCGGATAAGCCACACCTTTAGCTCCGCCTCCCTCAAACACAAGATTTTCAAAAGGAAACGGGTCCTCAAAATCTCTAAGGTCCAAAGATATTGGAAAATCCTCTTCTGATGTTTCTAATTAGGAACAAAGTCGTTTTTGGGAGAAAACGTCATAAGTAACAATCTGATTAAAATACAGATCTCTAATAGTGCAAATGCGCTTTGCGCTATGTAGAGATCTTTATTTTAATCAGATTGCATGGGTAACAACATATAAACTGAGAATAAAAAGCTTACCTGGTTCGTCAGAATCATTGTCAACGTCTCTGTTTAGAAGACCTACGATATAGTTGTGTGTTCTGGCATCTTTTTCGGTTGTCTCTTGCGAATCTGTTATCGGTTTGGAAGAAAAACTCCCTCCCATCAGTATTCCTTATAAAAATTATATATGTGATAGAAACGTGTATATACATGTATGTAAATCTGTAAATAAGCCGAAACTGATTCATCTTGAGATATTTGCTTCGAATTATGAAACCACGCATCCAAGTGACATAATGAAGTAGTTACAGTAAACTTTGCTTGGCGACATCTGATATTCAAAAAATGTTGACTGTGTAGAATTTGTGGGCGCAGAATTCACTGTTTTTCCGAAGCATCTAATAGCATTTATATATTGATTAATTGTATGCTGTTTAACGTCCCTCTCGAGAATTTTTCACTCATATGGAGACACCACCACTTGACGGTGAAGAGATGCAAAGCATAAAATTTTAAATAAGGGCCATTGAGCAGTAAGGGATCTTTTTCGTGCCAGCAGCTACTGTGACACGGGACCTCGATTTATAAAGTCTAATCCGAAGAACCGGTTTCCACGTCCCACAGTGTGATTCGAAACCGCACCGTAAGGATCGACTCCTTACTTCGCGACTCTAGAGCAGACGCTCTAACCACTGCGCCACGCGGGCGAATTAAATAAAGAGCGCATTCAGGTTATGGTAATATTTGATTTTTTCTTCTGTTTCACAATGACTTTTTTGAAATGAAAATTTTGAAAGATTGTGAGAAGATACTACAGAATTCAACACAAAATTTTCATATTACTAGAAAAAGCCGTGTTCAATAAAACGCTAATGGTAAACGTGATGAATTTAATTTTTAGGGCCTGTAATATTTTGTCAAAATAGCAAAATTCTCATTTTCCAACAACATGCAAAAAATTATTAGTTTTGATTGAATAGTATTTGAAATATTCAAAAAGTGAGCGTTTTTCTGTGACAACCCTCGTAATTTTTTGTTAAATCAAAAAGGTAGGTTATCTAGTGAAGAAACACAAAGAAAATAGACAGAATTATTTTTGAGTTGTTCATACCTTATTTCCGTTTTTGCTGGGATACAAGATAGATTCATATGAAGGAACGTTATAATGTTAAAAAAAATTAGTGTTGAGAAGTTTATAACCCATTACCGGAAAAAGGTGTATATCCTGACAAATTTCATCAAATTTCATCAACAAAATTCTTATGGCCATTCAAACGTCTAACATATAGAACACGTGCGTCATTTCCTGTTTCATTGTCATACTGTGACTTAAAGGAAGGAAAAGTAAAAAAAGGAAGACAGATATCTTATTAAGAATAGTCTTTACCTCTAAGTTTATATCATGTAAAAAGGTGTATATTTTCCTTAAACATTAATACTTGTTTATATGCAACTCTGTACTTAATTTTTTTTTTTGAAATAAACAAAACAAATAATTAAGAAATAAAAAAAAAACCAAAATGTGATTTAAAACCCCCCCCAGATATTTTAAAATTTTACATACACAAACTATCGCTTAAAATTGTTCATTTTGAACGTACATTATACGTATTATTCATAATCACTAGAGTTTTTTTTTAAATCACAGCCTAACAACCAAATAACTCCGTTTTTTGTCCCCCGCTTGAAAAGTGGGGGATATTAATTTGGGTTTGTCCGTCCGTCCGTCTTTCTGTCTGTCTGTAACGCTTTCGTTTCCACACGATATCTCGAGAACCCTTTGAGCTTTTGCAATGAAATTTAGCATAGCAACTCCCTATAGACTAAAGAAGACCCCTATTGATTTTGGGGTCAAAAGGTCAAAGGTCAAGGTCATAAATAAGCAAATTCTGTCTGTTAAAACACTTTCGTTTCCACACGATATCTCTAGAACCATTTGAGCTATTGCAATGAAATTTTATATAACAACTCCCTGTGGCCTAATGAAGACCCCTATTGATTTTGAGGTCAAAAGGTCAAAGTTCAAGGTCGTAAATTTATACATTCTGTCCGTGTGTAATACTATCATTTCCGGGCGATATTTCAAGAAGATTTTGGTCTTATGCAATGTAATTTTATACCAAAACTCCCTAGGACGTCTCTCGCCCCTTTCAAAGTGCCCCGCCCCGTTTGTTTTATTAGAATTTATAGTATTACATGTCGCTATTTTTAGCGCAGGGAGAGTTATTGCGTATAAAACAGGTTCTCGGCGGACTTTATGTTCTTATTACATCTATTAGAACTGTTTAATAAAGGCTAAATAGATCATACACCATGGATTGTGTAAAATTTTGAGAATACCGAACATGAAAACATGAATATATACATGTATGTGACTTCAGTTCTGCATATACTTCACATCATGTAAAGCGATTCCGTGGTCTGGTGGTTATGTCTCTCGCTTCAAGTGTGAGAAGTCCCGGGATCGAATCTCGGTCGTTCCTTTCTTTTTTTTTTTTTTTTAAATACTTTTTTTTTTTACTAAATGATAGTATTCAGCATGTGAAATGAAAAAATTATGAGGTTATAAAATCATCATTACAGTGTGATAAATATTCCATATAAAAAAATCTTCTATACACATAATAAAGAATAAGCAATCAAATCTTTATATGCATATTGACATACATGTATTTTATTTGCTTCAGTATACATGTATACTTTTAATATTTCTACAAATTCAGTCAGTGGGATCCGACTTTTTCCCTCAGCGGGGGACACGAATTCTCTGAATTAGCTTGTTAGTGTTTGTTCACGAGACTTCAAAAAATTCATCCGTTAATTTTTTAATAAGAAAGCCATCAGGTAAGAAATAAATTTAAAAAAAAAAAAGGAACTGAAATCAACTTCATTTTAGTTTGTCCTCTTGTTTAATGAACTCTTCTGTTGAAAATGAAAAATTTCCCCTCAGCGTACACAAAAGGAAATGACTGTAGAAGAAAAAGATAAGCTTTCTTTTATAGTATAATCTATTCTTCCTTCCTTTAGAGTACATTTTATCATTTATCACTGATTTTACTACAGTGCACGTTTAGTGTCTTGTTTTCAGTGCTTTTACTCTATATATATGATAGAGTAAATAACATTTAGTTGTACATGTATGCATGAGTCTGACCTTTGTTTTATGGAGAGGACTTGTATATAGGCAATGCCTGCTGTCCAATCCTGTTATGTTCAATCATAATTAAGTATTGTTTAAATTAAAAAGAGGGTAAATAATGAATGTATGGAAAGCTTTCCATATGAATGATTGTTGACAGGATCAGAATTTTGCATTAATTTTCGTCCAGTAAAATCAAATTTAAAAAAAATATATATAATTACAGTTGGTTCTTGATAACCTTTTTCTTTAAAGATAAAAATATTGAAAAAGCAGCTGTCAATAACACCAAAAAGCCTGGACATTAATTTATCGTGAGGAGTGGTTGTGCATAAAGTTGAAAAGTCACGTACGTTTTTAAGCTGTTGATTTTTGAGAGATGTCAAATGATCCAAAAGTTCCTTAGAATTTTTAAGTATCCCATCTGATTTACACTACTTCTCGAATATATATTGTTGCACAGTACTCTTGAAGTTTATCCTGGAGCACTACAATTAATATTATAGTGAGGAGTAATTGACGAAGAAAGAGGCTTGGTTGAACATTTACTGGAACCCGCTATGCATCTTAAATCGTTTGTAAGGATTATATATATATATATATATATATATATATATATATATATATATATATATATATATATATATATATATATATATATTAGTTCAAATTCATTTTGGTTGTTTTTGGGATGTTAAATTATTCAAAACTGACATATGATTTTGGAGAATTTCTTCTTTAGAAAGGGAACTATGAGTATAAGTTAGATTACCACTTGTAGAATTAAATCCAAGTTCTTCTAAAATACAAGTCAGGACATCTTCAATGAAATGGTTAATTAAGCACTACAGCCCGTAGAACGACATTACTTGTGATATTACAATGTTATAAATGATGATCTGTGAATAAGACTTAAAATCCCGAAATATTTATAAGAATTCATGCCGCGAAGATAAATCACATTACATGTATGTAAAATTAATAATATTTGATTATGCTTTATGCACTTATTTCGAAGCATTATCAAAAATAATCATTCAATTTGTTTTCACATTTTTAACAAATTGGGTATCTGTAAACAAAACCAGAGTTTTTTCCTATGTTAAATTGTTCATTTGAACTTTTCCGCCCAGTGTGCTCTTCTCTCGAGAGATGCGTGTACTAAAATACATTTGTAAAATTCAAATCAAAGGCACTCTTATGATTTTAATTGTTAATACAATCTAATATAGGATGCTTTTTATTATATTAATTAAAAGCAATTTATTCTGTTTGAAGACAATTATTCCGGATATTTGCTGTTTATCAAATAGATAAGATTCATTATTATACTTCTGTTAAAATGTTTCCTATATAAAGTTCAAAAGGTAAAATAACTATCCTTTATACTCCACGCATAGCAAAGCTATACCCCGGGGTATAGTTTTTGCTATCCACCCTCGGAATATTTTCATGCATTTGTCGCTGCCAATTTTGATTTCCAGCGATAAATCTTTAAACAGATGATGTCATAATGACTTTAGTAGCATTGTGACGTCATCAGGTTTCAGATTATTCTTGTAGAATTATCTTACTCCAAAAAAATTCAAACCTCAGAAATTATATTATACATCAGTATAATAAAACGCTTATCCACTGGTTGTGAGTGGGATAGCTCTTTTATCAAACCCTTGACAGGAACTATTCCCCTCGGGCAAGCCCTCGGGGAATAGTTCTCTGTCGCGGGTTTGATAAAAGAGCTATCCCACTCACACCCAGTGGATAAGTGTATATTATACCCCCCGCTTGAAAAGCGGGAGGGTATATAGTAATCGTTAATTCCGTCCGTCTGTACGTCCGTCCGTCTGTCCGTCCGTCCGTCCGTCTGTTACGCTTTGGGGTACCCATCTTTTATCCGCAACTCCTCTCATACCACTGAATGAAATTTGATGCAACTTTCACAGAATCTTTATTACATATTGCCATTGTGCACCTCCTATTTTACTTTTTGATCCGACACATATTTTGGGTTTCCCGGCCACAGGAGAACATGGACTTTTTCACCAGTTATAACCATATGGGAGGCGGGGGGTATCATTTAGTGAGCTCATCGCTCACAGTACCTCTAGTTTCGGTTTAATATTATTTTTCTTTGAAACACGGCTCATTTATAGAGAATTGTATCTCAATATCTCATTCTTGACTCTGTCTACCTTTTCAGAGCTATGATATTTCAACTGGACTCGGGTATACAAGTAAGTAACAATAAACCTGAATTTATTTTTACTGAACATTAATATTAAAGAAGATTGAAATATAGACAAGTTCTGATCATGTATTAAGTCAAACTAGAAAATATCTATCTATTGTTATACATTTTACACTGTGTTCATTTCATTTTTGAAACGGAAATTCTACTCGCTTGTTAGAAAACTTAATTTCAAAAAACTATATAAATGTTGTTGTTCGCAGCCACGTAGCATCGTTTTTGAAAGTGGGGGGCCAGCCTGAGAAAAAATTTTTCGACTTACCTGAAAAAGTTGACAAGCAAATAAAAAAAAAAAAAAAAAAAAAAAAAAAAAAAAAAGGGAAAATTGCCCAAACTCGAAAATCCTATTTCGTGGGGGGGGGGGGGGGGGGCAAACATTTTCCAATGCCAACTTCTTTCAGTAACAATTTTTTTTACATTCATTACTACATTTTCCTTATATCGACTTCCTGTAGTATCAAGTGGGGGATGGGTGGGGGGTGGCAACCAGCCTTTCAATGAACATTTCCAATACTAAAAGTAATGTTGGGAAAAAAGTGATGGGGACAGCCCCCCCCCCCCCCCCCCCCGTTGCTACGTGCCTGGTTCCTGCTTATTATCTTTTGATAAATTTTAAAAAATCTCAGTAAAATGTAACCTTTTTTTCAGAGATGGGGATCAGATCAAATAGTTCTTTTAATCTTTGCTTGGCTAATTAACAATAACAATGCCTTTATCACAACAAAACATTTCATGATGTGGACTACTTCGCAAACAGTTTTAAAAAATTTCTTTTTGGTTGAAGACCATGTTAGAAGTGCGTTATTCTGTGCAACGAAATGCTCAGAAAAGCAGGGAGCCTGCCTATCATTTGCATGGAATAAACAAACGCTCAAATGTTTGTTGTATAATGGGACTTTGGAAAATGCTCCATTTACTGAAGAAAATGATCTTGGAGGAAAGTGGAAATATTTCACTACCAGAGGTATGCAAAATCTTGTCTTGAAAAAAAAATATGAAGATTTACGTTTTCCTATTTTAAATGTTTTAATCGATCATCTCAGGAAAGCAACGGTGTCCTTCAAGACGCCATCAGATGATGAACAAAATTAAAAGAAAAACCTTTAGATTCAATGACGATGATATTTTTTAAGCCCTTCAAAGTATCGCAGTTGAAAAGCCGACAGAACAATCCTCCACCTTCCAGTTGTACAATTCAAGTCTGGCCGTGGATGGTAATAGATCTAGAGATACTGACATTGACGGTAACTCGTGTAGCCATACAGGTATATCTGATGACGAACCTTGGTGGAGGGTGGACCTCAACATTTATTACATCGTAACAGTTAGAATGGTCAACCGCGGAATGGATAGGTACGGAACTGGTATGTACTACTTATTATTATATGAAACAACCCAATATAGTCATTTTTTAATATTTTTTCGTATAAATAAAAACATCTACAGTAAAACACGTATCGTTCCATTTAAAATATTCTAATCTTTTTATGCAGATGTGTCTGATCGCCTTCGTAACGTTACCATAGCAACCGGTGAGACTGTTTCAAATATCTCAACGCTTTGTGGTTTTTATACTGGACCTGGGTCACTTGGTGAAGAGGTCACTATTGACTGCGCCCCCTCAACCACCGGACGCTTCCTCCAAATCTCCTTGGTTACCGCTGGTCTGACTCTGTGTGAAGTTGACGTATTTGGTATTCCAATGTAAAATTCAAGACTCCATATACATGTATAACTTAAGTCCAAGATTTAATTTTGATATCGTTGACAGCTGCTTATTCAATAAAAATGGAAATCGTAAATTTACATTCCTTGTCATAGGTTACATATTTTTTTTTGTTATTTCCCGATCATGACAAGGAGAACACGGTGGGTGTGACCGGTCGGCAGGTGATGCTCACTCCTCCATGGCACCTGATCCCACCTCTTATGTTTTTGAGGTCCGTGTTTGCTTTGCTCCTATTTGTATTGTTTTAAGGACTTTTGAGTTTGGATACTGTTTGTTATCTTTTTCTTGTATAAGATTTATGAATTCCCTGTCAAAAGCGCACGTCTAACATTTTAATAAGAGGATACTAGAAAAAAATCAAAAAGCAAATTCAAAGAATGTGATCCCCAAAGAATTCTTGGCATATTGTGTCAAATATGAGCGCTCTATCATATGTCATGCAAAAGTAATCATGAAGGTCAAGGTCAAAGGGGAAAAATTACACATGCACGGAAACATCTTTTTAAAATGCACATGTCAAATATGAAAGCCCTATCTCTTCTCTATGAAGAGTTATAAGGAAAGATAATATTTTAACAAGGTCAAACTTCAAGGTCAAGGTCACGTAGTAAAAAAAATCACAGTATATTTAGAAAGGTCTTGTCACAGGTAATACAAATTAAAATATGAAAATCCTTTCTCTTCTCTTTCAAAAGATGACCAAGGTTGATTTATACATATTTTATTGTCTTTATACTTTACAATTTGGATTGGGCAAAAGTTTTAAAAACTTCATACGCCCTTTCCCTACATATGCATTATACCAAACCTATTTACATACATGGGTTTCAGCTTAAAATGAATTAACACAGAAAAGCATATTATATAATCAGATCAACACATATTCAATAGAATACATTTTTTATGACCAAGGTTAAAGTTTTTGTGATAGACAGACAGACGGACGGACAGACGAATGAGATTTAATGTGCCCTCTCGACATGAAATAAAACTTTAAAGCTTTTAAGGGGCTCTTTACGATTGTTTTAATGGATTTTTTTTTCAAAGAACCGAGAACTGGTGATCGTGTAACACCTTTCTTTCCTCTGAGTCTCATTTATGGTTTTATATTTAGACACTTTTCCCTGTAATGGCGTAAACAGTCCAACCCTCTGAACAAATTTAAGCTTACGTCTACGACTTGTTAGTGAGACGGTCCAAACGGTGCCGTAACGTTTTCTGCATTATTACGTGGTCATGACATTTTTATGCCCCCGTAAACGAAGTTTCGGGGGTATATAGTTTTTTGTCGTGTCCGTCTGTCTGTCTAGCTGTCTCTCTGTCTGTCTCGCTGTCTGTCTCTCTGTTTGTCTGTTTGTTCGCAAAAACTTTAACCTTGCCCATAACTTTTGATTTAGTGGATGAGTTATGACTTTTATATTTAAAATGTGTATTCCTTGTGACAAGACCTTTCTTTGGGTACCACCAAATTTGACCTTTTGACCTTGACCTTGGAGTTTGACCCACTTTTACATGAAAATTTGAAACTATTACTTTGGCATATCTTTTGAACAGTAGACACCAGGACATTTATACTTCACATATGTATTTTTTGTTAAAAGACCTTCCATTGGATACCAACAACCCTGACCCTTTGACCTTGACCTTGTAGATTTCCGTACTTGTGAAAAAACTTTAACCTTGGCAATAATTTTTGAACGGTAAGGGAAAGCTGTCATACTTCGTATGTATAATCCTTGTGAGACGCTCCTTCATTGGATACCAAGAACTTTGACCCTTTGACCTTAACCTTTGAGTTTGACCTACTTTTAAAAAGCAAACCTCGACCATAACTTTTAAAGGGTTAGCGCTAGTGCTTTCATACTTCAGATATTTAATCCTTGTGACAAAACCTTTCATTTGATAGCAAAAACTTTAACCCTTTGACCTTGACCTTGGAGTTTGACCTACTTATAAAAATGTTTAACCTTGGCTATAACTTCTGAACGGTTAGGGTTAGGGCTTCCATACTCAACATAAGTATTCTATGTGGCAAGACCTTTCATTGGATATCAATTTCCTTGACCTTGGAGATTTTTTTTACTTATTAAACAAAACTTTAACATTGGCCTACTGTCATATTTCACAATTGTTTTTCCAGTCAGAATACCCTACTTTTGGTACCAATTAAGTAACTTTGCATTTAAGAAAAGTTTAATCTTTGCTTAGTTGCCATACGGGGGCATCAGTGTTTCACAAACACATCTTGTTTTTCCTTTGCTTTTCTAATGGGATTTTTATGCCCCCGTAAACGAAGTTTCGGGGGTATATAGTTGTTGTCGTGTCCGTCCGTCTGTCTGTCTAGCTGTCTGTCTGTCTGTCTGTCTAGTTGTCTCTCTGTCTGTCTGTTTGTCTGTTTGTCCGCAAAAACTTTAAGAGCTTTCTTTGGGTACCACCAAATTTGACCTTTTGACCTTCACCTTCGAGTTTGACCTACTTTTACATGAAAATTTTAAACTTTTACTTTGGCCATTTCTTTTGAACAGTAGATACAAGGATATTTATACTTCACATATGTATTCTTTGTTGAAAGACCTTTCATGGGATACCAACAACCTTGACCCTTTGACCTTGACCTTGTAAATCCCCGTACTTGTGAAAAAATTTTAACCTTGGCCATAACTTCTGAACGGTAAGGGATAGGGCTTTCATACTTCATATATATGTAATCCTTGTGAGAAGACCCTTCATGGGATACCAAGCACTTTGATCCTTTGACATTGACCTTTGAGTTTGACTTACTTTAAAAAAGCAAACCTTGACCATAACTTTTAAAGGGTTAGGGCTAGTGTTTTCATACTTTACATATTTAATCCTTGTGACAAGACCTTTCATTTGATAACAAGGACTTTGATCTTGACCTTGACCTACTTTTCAAATTTTTTAACCTTGGCCATAACTTCTGAACGGATATGGCTAGGGCTTCCATACTCTACATAAGTATTCTATGTGGCAAGACCTTTCATTGGATGCCAATTACCTTGACCTTTTGACCTTGGAGATTTTTTTTACTTATAAAACAAAACTTTAACATTGGCCTACTTTCAAATTTCAAATTCCAGTGAGAATGCCCTACTTTTGGTACCAATTAATTAAATTTGCATTTAAGAAAAGTTTAATTTTTGCTATGTTGCCATACGGGGGGCATCAGTGTTTCACAAACTCATCTTGTTCGTGTTATTTTTCCCACAGGCACTTGTTTCGGTAATAAATTTTTAACACATAGTATAAAAATTTATCACCGAAACAAGTGCCTGTGATTTTCCTCCTATATTCTTACCCTATAATTGTCCCCCGCTTTTGCGAAAGCGAGGGGACATTGAATCCCATTCGTCTGACCGTCTGTCACAAAAACTTTAACCTTGGTCATATCTTTTGAATGAGAAGAGATAGGCTTTCACATGTATGTATAAACCAGGTATTGACTTGACAAGGCCTTTCTAAATACACTTTGATTTTTGACCCTGAGACCCTAAAGTTTGACCTACTTTAAAAAAAAATAAAGACTTAAAATTGGCCATAACTCTTGAATGAGAAGAAATAGGGCTTTCACATTAAACATGTGTATATTACCTGTGACTAAATCTTTCTGAATACACTTTGAGTTTTTTTAACGTTGTGACCTTGACCTTGAAATTTAATCTACTTTTCAAAAACTTTAACCTTGCTCATGAGTTTTGAATGAGAAGAGATAGGGCTTCAATATTAAACCTATGTATTGCTTGTGACAAGACCTTTCTAAATACAATAGGACTTTTGATCTTGTGACCTTGTCTTTGAAGTTTGACGTAATTTTCAAAAAAAAAAATGTTAAATTTTCCTGTAACTTTTGATTGAGAAAAGATAGGGTTTTCATATTTGACATGCGCATTTCCTGTGACAAGAAACAGGGTGTATATCCGAGCATGCTGTGATTTCTGATCCCTTGACATTGACCTTCACGATTGACTTCGGTGATAACTTCTGAATGACAAAAGAGCAGTCGTTCATATTTGACACAATTTACCACAAAAATTACATTTCACCCACAAAGACACCGAAAGCGGGGGACCGCAATTCTTTAAATTTGCTTGTTGAGTAAAGTTTTTATAAATGTTTTACTTGAAGTTCTTCAGAGACGTTTGTGTGTAAACTTTTAGAGGAATAATATGCAGAAAACATGCTCCACTGGTTTTGGTTCTAGGGGCCTAGTGGTCCTCGGGGTCAACAAGAGAAGCTTTACAAGTCTCCAAAGAAATCTCACCGTCTTCTATCTTCGTTAGCCAAGTTCTGATACGCTACCCTCCTCATAATCCCATAAACGATGAGCAGACCGAAAACGCTTGCTTTGCGAAGATGTCTTTGGCGGTGGTTTATCTGAACCTTTCTCTTCGATATAGCAGTTCCATATCTAGGAGAAAGAAACGGTAAAGTACCCTAATCATAGGCGTCGGAACCGGGGGGGGGGGGGGAGGGGGAGGGGCAGGGGGGTCTTAGCCCCCCCCCCCCCCATTTTTTTTGCAAATATATACATAATATAGGCATTGAAAATTGGGGTTTAACTTTTTTTTGTTGGTTAAGCCCCCCCCCCCTATTTCAATTAGCCCCCCTTTCAATTTGCTGAACCGATACCTATATATGCTAGCCTAATTATGATAGAACAGTCCTGTATAACTATTTTAACATTTAACAATGTATGAAATTCAATGGAGACGTAATTTTAAGATGACAACTGAAGTAAACTCATGATGAAGTTTCAATTTGGATTCAAAGATCAAATTTCGCCTGCGGTTCACTCAATCGTTTTAAACTTCCGTTCTTGGAAAAGTGTAGAAGAAAAAAAAATGTTAATTGTAAATCTTTACTTTCCTGTTGTTTTATGAACATTCAATAATTAAGTCTGGCAAATTACAACTGTCAAATAAAGTTGGGGTAGGGGTTCTATAACTATTCCCAAGTTAGATTAAATTGAATTTCTATAGGTAACACTGGATCCGCTCCTTTTCTATGAATGGAAATGGGAAAGGTCCGAGGAGTTGCGAATGAAGTGACAGGTGAGATTTCGTATTTACACGAGAACCAAAAATAAAAACAGGTTTGTTTTTGTCGACATGTGATGGATTGGGCTATTAGCACTTGATATAAACAAAACATGGATCGTATATCGGAAGACTTGTAACTTATAGAAGGAAGCGGAACAAAAAAAATCAACACAATAGCAACGAAAGGTAAGTCTAACCCGAACGGCCTCTGTTATATTAGTGACCCCTCCCTATCATTTCAAAACTGTCATAAACAGCTGATACTTTCATGACAATCAAAGCTTGCTATTGAAAATATGTATTTATTGTTCATTTTCCCATTGAAATGAGTTTTGATTTTAAGTATTATGCACATGTAAATATGTACATAATCGATGTTATAACTGCTTGTGCTTAGTGCTAATACAAATTGCAGAAAAAGAGGGGAGGGTCGAAGGAAAGAGCAATAAGTTACTGTAGTAGCTTTGCTTCTTTAATTAAAAGTGGTAAATAATTTCTGACTTCATGAAAGGAGGAAATTTGTTTCATTATTAAAAGCTTAAAGGAAGATTTAGCCTGCTAGCTGAATATACACAACATATTAAAATTGAAAGAATTAGAGGTTTAGAATCATGTGTGTGTCTTCATAAAGAGTAGAAGATGTGATTTGTGTTCTGTGTATTCTGTCATGATGAAATATTAAATATGGGCCTATCAAATGAGTTCTTTTTTCACTTCATTAAATTACATTTTGAATTGTTAAAAGTTGGCATGTTATGATTTTTTTATCAGATTGAAACAATCAGTTATAATTAAGTAAATTAATAAACTTTGAAAATTAATAAAAAAAACCCCTGACTATCTTGTTTTTATAATCTTTTAAATAATTAACTGTAATATATCTTGTGCAATTGAATATTTAGTCTGAGATCATATACTAAATTTTTTGGTCAGCTACATCTATTTTATTGAATGCAATAATGTCTTATCAGTGTAGTGCTTGAAAAATACCAAGGATAATAAAGTGTGCATGACTGCAAGATAAATTGGAATAAAAATCAATATTAGGACCCCTACACCTGAATATAGATAAAACTCTAGTAAAGGTGCTCAGCTTAAGGGAGAAATGTACTTATTTTCTGGGTGTGTTTGATGGCTATTGATTTTATACAGGTGTAGTATATCAATTTTATCTATGTGGACACTTAATGGCACTAATATGATGTATTGGTATCAATTTAGAAAATGTGAGAATTTTGGCATTTTGTCACTTTCTTTATATTTATACAGTTACCATGTTTAAAGAAAGTTAAGTCAAAGAATGCACTATAGTATTTTATGTTAAATGTTACATAATAGTTCTACTTACATTTAAAGTGTACCAATTACCTCTGAATCTCTGATTCATATAAGTGGGGTCAGTTGTTATCTTGTCTGAAGGTAATTATCCCAGGTGTATTGATACGTATGAAATATTAAAAGACCCAATTAACTTTCTTATATTGGGGAATTCTGTTTATATATAACTACACAGAGTTCTATGTATCTGCATGCTTTCTGTAAGTTCTTCCTGGGTTTTGTTTCATATAAGACTGTACATATGTGACTTGTATGCATTTAGATAAAATTTAGATATTTTTTTACACATGTATGAAAGAATACAAGTTTTCATGCTGAATAGTATTTTCTTATTATAGTGCTTTCTTTGAAAATCTTTCTGCCCGAAATCCGTGTTGATGAGACTTTGGAGATTTGTCAAGTTTACATAGTGGGTGTACACATCTTTTTGTGTACGTTTTATATTAAGCTTTTGAGATTTTTAAATCCCCCCAAGGTCTGAAGACTTCTACCTTATGGCAGGTTGCTGACTCCTTATTTACATCTTTTGAAATCAACTTTCTGATAAAGATTTCATTTTCCTTGAACATGTTGAAATGATATGGGTCTAAGCTATGGGCTATGGGAATTGCAATATCATTGATGATAATTTACTCTGTTGCACATTCTCAGAGGGGAAATAACTAGGGGAAATGATAAATTGTAAGTTGAATTTTAGGGTCTAAGGCAGTTTTGATAGAATAGTTATGATTAAAGGATATGTCAACCTTTTTTAAGAATCAAATATTAATATATAAAGTTGTTAAAATATCATCTTTTAGATCATCAGAAGTAATGAGATAAAATTGATTACTCAGCTAGAGCGTACATCTTGTAAATTATCACAATGAGATAAAATTGATTACTCAGACTATCTCATCTTTCCTTCTGACCATCAAAACAAGAAATTGATGTAAATCAAAAAGACAGGGTGAAGCATAAAATATAGGTGTGTTATGTCTGATAATGCTTATCTCCGCTTATCCCTCTGACTCAGACAGTGTTTTCCCTTTTCAGAGCTGACCGGTAGAGTGTATGGTCATGCTGTCCATTCTTGACCAGTACAGCCAAGTGATCAAATTTTCCGAGCTCCCTGACCCCCGGACGTCATGGGAGTTACAGCGACTGATCGGGGAGGGCACGTACGGGGAAATCCACCAGGCCATACACAAAGAGTCTGGTGAGTACTATTAAACATGAGAAAGAAAAACATGGTTTTAAAGCTAAACAAGGATGTAGTGCTTGTTTTAGGTAGGAAATGGTGAAAATCTCGAGTTTGTAATTTAACTTAAATTAATATGGTAGTGATCAAAGCATAAATAAACATGATAATAAAGGAAAAGAATTCTGTTGAAAATAAATATCAGTTATTTAAAAAGCAAAATGCTTTAAGCTTATAAATTAAAGTTTGATATTACGGTTTTTGTAAAATAAATCAGTTTTGGAGAACTGCATATGGGATATACCGTAAAATGTTTTTCTTGATGAAAAGATTACATTTAAAATGTTTAATGGAAATGCATAAGGATGACCACATCACAGGCTTAGTCACAGACATGTGTATATGCACGGAATCAAAACATATTTTGAAATCAAAAGGAAGAGGATATAGAGACATTCACTTTTGACAAACAATAAATAAAGCTACATTTCCTGGTTTGTAGGAGAGGTGGTGGCAATGAAGGTGTTGGAGTCCATACATGAGATGATTGAGGAGATAGAGGAGGAGTACCAGGTCCTCAGGGATCAGGGGAACCACCCCAACATCCCACGCTTCCATGGGATCTACCTCAAACCCCCCACCAACGGGATCGATGCAGAGGTCTGGATAGCAATGGAGGTCAGTGCTATGTAAACTAGAGGTACTGTGAGCACTGAGCTCACAAAATGAAACCTTCTTTTCTGTTTAAGATCATTATGCAGGGGTATGTGTGGTGTCCCCTTGCCCAGTTGGGCTCATACCTAAACCAAGGGGTGTCTATGATGTGTAGAGGGTGTACAATGATTGTGAACCATAAATTGTAGAACCCTGAACCAGTTTTCAGGATAAATTCTCAAGGTTAAAAAACTCCTCTGTCAATCTCTGTGAATGTCTTTTCTTGGTCATTTTATTTCCCATTGGCCCACATCATTCAAAACTTCAACCAAAGAGTGCCTAGTTTGGATAAAAGGGACATTAATCCTATTTTATGTCCTTTGCTAAAAGTGGGGTCTTTTATATCTATAAAGGCAATTAAATAAAACTCTGAACAACTTTGCACATTATTCTTTATTAAATAATGGAAAAGAAACTATTTTATGAATGCTGTGTAGGATTATAAGCTTTCCTCATGCAGACCCTTTCTTTCCTTATCTGTGTTATTTGTAATATGATGGTTGCTGGATCAATGACATTGAATGTTATCTTTTTGCTACAAATGTCATCTTCTCTAAGTAAAATCTATGTGTATAAAGACTTAAAAAGGTAATGAAATCCTACAGATTGATTAATTCTCATTTTTCCTAACTGTGGGTAGATGCTTTACTGAGGTCCAAGTGTAACATTCTATGTGCTGTATTCTAGTTATAAAATATATTTTATAACATACAAACAAGAAGTAAAACAGACTTGGACATTCTTAGTTTGGACATTCTGTCAAGGTCACAATAGATGGTTAATAAAAAGAAAGTGAGGGACGGTGACAAACAAGACTATAAAGGAAAGAAAGAGAAGAAAACAGTGATAGAAATGATGATTTGTAGGGGATCAAAAGTAACAGGTTAACATGCATTTACACACACACACACACACACACACGCACATAAAATTTAAGTTTTAAAGTGGATATGTCACATTGATATTCTGCTAAACTATAAGTCAGTGTGATAGTTGTGCACCATTTCAAGCCAAACAATATGGAGACACCACCAACAAATTTACTCAGTATGCCAAAATTTATCAATTCTGATTATTTTGTCACTGAAAAGCTTTCAATTTACCGGTATATTGGAATCAGCATTAATAATACTAACAAGATGTATTTCATTTAGTCTTCAAACTGACACATGATTTATACGTAAGTGAAAAATTAGTAGAATAATTCTAGGACTAGCAGTTGATTAATATCACATGTAAATAAAACTGTTAAAAATTCTAAATACTTTGAGGGTTCAATGAAAAATTGATTGATCATGTTTAATTTGTCATGACTGATTATGCAGAAAATCAAATTTTTCATTTTATATGATTCATTATTTTTTTTCTGTTAATAGTTCCAAGTGCAAAAATTTGGTTTATATACCAGTACATACATGTACATTCCTCGTATGGAAATTGAGGTTTTATGACTTGTTCTCTAGTTTCTCTGGGTATTGATGCAGAAAAATCAGCTGTGCATGCAAACATGTATTAATTTATCTGCATTCCCAATCCCATCAATCATTCACTTGGGATATGCACACCTAGGATTTAGAGTGATGGGAGTGTTGGATCAAAATTTCAACACTAAGTAATTGTTCCTTGGTCCTTTTGTGATTTTCTTTTCATGAAATAGGAATTTTAAGTTTCTAGGCATATTACAACAAATAACTTTGAGGAACTTAAAACTGACCAGTATGACGTTCTATCAACAGCTGTGTGGG